CCGATGTGCAACCACAGTGTGGGGTGGTAATTGGCGGTAAACCAATACAGTACAGTACTACTACTACGCTGCAGCAACAGTGAACTTTTACGAGATCACACGGGGCCTGGCTGAATTTACTGTCCTTCAACCTACACTTTTGTATCAAAAGTGCAAAAGACATGCAGCACTAGCCAGCTCCGCATCCTCGCAGCAGAACTCATGTGAATGAAGGAATTCTTGAGCGGTGCCCGGTAGCATTAAGGCTGCAGGCAGGCATGCATGCGGGTTGGATTTGATTTGAAGGTGCACCTTCTTGGATCCCTACCGCCGTCGACAACGGAGGCAGGCACGGCTCATCTGGTGCCGAATTTGGGTTGAATGATTCGTGAGAGATCGAGAGAGATCCCTGTCTCGCTCGCTGGATAGCTCATCCCTGACCGATGCACCGCCATGATGAGCGTCAGGGGCAAGCCGAGTTGCCCTTGTCGATCGATCTCCTCTGCCACCTTTCGATCTCCCAATCTCACCGAGGCTATGATGTCATGATGAAAGTTGGCGGGAAAGAATCAGGGGCCGATCAACGCTTCAACAGTACGTCCATGTGGTACTCGAACACGAAAGGGGGCAGCTGCTTGCTAGCTCCTTTTCCTTTCTCTCTGCTCGCCGTCCAGTGGAGCAGAAAAGGGTCTGAAACCGAACCCTAGCCTCCGAGTAGTTTACCTGCAAATCGCTGCCGAATTTTGTACTAACCTTGACACGGACATATCGATTCAGGGTAATCCAAAATGACTCGACCATGGACTCGATCAAATCTTGACTAGTGAAATGGGATCTTATGCCGAGCTGACATGACAACAGCTTCATGGAAGGTGATCTGCTGACGTGCGTGCAGCCCCGGCAACGCCGATTAGTCAAATTATTACTTGCGCACCCTCCAGACCAACGCGTACACACGAAAAACAAAGACATAGGGAATGCGCGTGCTTTTACTACTCAGAAATGAACAAATTATACAGTCGTAATCCAAGAAGCATTTGCATTGGAGTTTACTAGGACTGCCGGTGCGGGCTAATTCATTGGAAAGGGGAGGGTAGGTACAAAACAAATCCAGGTGATGTCTCGCCCGACCTAATTCTCCATGGCATCGATCATTGCCCAGATGCCGCCACCTGAGCACGAGCTTTCGTCCGTTTGGACTCGCGTGGAAAATTCGGGGCCGGCGGTTGACTAGACCTGTTCTGCTCCGAGTAGCAGGCGAAAGCGAAAAGAGTCAAGACATGTTGCTCACCAAGAACATGCCCATCCTAATCCGATCGAAAGCGCAAAGCGCGAGCCGACTTCTTTTCCCGTGCTTCTTCTTCTTCTTCTTCTTCTTTAACAAATGGAAAGGAAAGCAGGCGGAGATGCGCGTCGGCGGTAAAACATGGGCGATCGGCGTTACGCAAGGCTGGGGCAAAAGGAGTCAGCGTTCCGCTTTGCCTTTTCGTTCCTCTTCTTTTATTTTATCTTTGCTTTGTGCCGTGGAGCCAAGCTTAATGGAGGCTTATGCGAGAATGTTGTTGTTCGATGGGGCTGACTTTTGCACTTCAGGCCGCGCTTGGATGCGGTGTATTTCAATACGGATGTATTAATTCTACACGTGTAACTTACCGGCCATGAACAGATATCCAGTTCCACGCAAAACAAAATGAATAGATATCCAGCCGGAAACAAAAGGACGAGCAGCGACCTATATTTTTTACAAGCGTATCTGAGACATGGTAATCCAAACAAGGCCTCAAAGTTTACTGTGGAATGTAATGGAAGATGTTGTAGACGTACACTTTTGGAGAGCATCCAATCTAGGACCTGCGCAATGTATAAATAAATAAGAACCAGATCAAAGACATCAAAATCAGAGTGGCGCAGCGGAAGCGTGGTGGGCCCATAACCCACAGGTCCCAGGATCGAAACCCCACAGGTCCCAGGATCGAAACCTGGCTCTGATATTTATTTATTTTCCAGTTTTTTTTGACAGAATTAGTTTGTTCTTTCATGGACGTACTTATCTGTAGTCTGAAGATTGTATTTGTATTATATGGAGTATATACAGAACTATAGAAGATTGGCAAGTACTGTACACAGATGAATGGTCTTGGCTTGAGGGCTCCATTTTGGGGTGGGGGATCCTGAAACAGATGCCTTTTCTTGACAGAGAATTGGGTTCCAGTTGCTTGTCTAAATGTTTGTCATCAGAGATGAATCAGGAGAGGCCATGGATGTGTTACATTTCAGAAGATGTCAACTGGGTTGCCACAAAGTTTTTGTTTGAAACCGATTCTGCACAACCGAAGATTGTGGTGACCACTGAAGATTACGATCTGCCGGCTTTAGGAGCTAATATTCAGAGATATAAAGTTTCAGTTGTGTGTAGGTTTTACTGATGTGTGTGTTGTGTCTTGCCCCCAGCCTGGAATTTAGCTGCGCATAGTGCTAATTTGGGAGCTGGAACCTGTGAGACAATGCACTTTACTGACCTTTATCTCATTACATCCTACTGCTAGAAAATACTTATGCTTTCAGTGTTGCAAACAGTTAATTAGGGGTTAAGAGCTTACAAGAGAGGGGAGGGGAACAACTAGCATTTACTTGTGACTTGTAAAGTGACTGAACATTCACATGTTCCTGAAACTATACTATCAAATTGACTATTGTTTTGGCATTTCCTGAAATTTGGATATCCAAACAGGCTGATGTGGTGGGGTTTCTAAATTCAGATAGGGAGAGGAAATGCCACAATTCCTTGTTTTGGTGTGTATACTTACAAGGTTGTTTTCTCAGAATTGAGTACAATTTAATACTCCTACTAAAAGCTTATGTGTTAAATACAAAGAGATGGCTAGTACATCTAACTCAACAATATCTGAATGAGTTCAAACCTTCATATATGTACTCTGAGCAAATATACAATTAGTGCAAAATTAATTGGACCATAAAATATTTTCCAAATGGTTGCTCAAAGAAAAAAAATCTTGTGTAAGTAAAAAGAACTATATGGGTTAAGTAGCAGATAGGTTATCTATTTGACATCAGAGTTTTCAAGTAAACCACAACTGCATTTCAGGGAGTGACTTACAGACCTAATTTTATTTTACTCATAGATACCTTGCCTTTAGCATGCGTGGACCTGCTTGTTTTGTTGAGCCTGACAGGAGGCCCAGGTGACATTGACACTCTATTTAAATCAGGATTCAAAATAATGACTTAGAAAGTCGGTGCTAAGAATGAAGAAATTTTAACTAATGGTAAGTCTCGAACTAGCTGGGCCTACAGACTTCCTTAAGATTGTTCTGATATGTGTTCACTGCACTAAATTTGAAACAGCTCACCTTTTCTTGGGAGAGAATTAAATTCCAGTTGCTTATCTAAACTTTTAAACTGGCACACACACAAGAATTCATCAACCTTTCGCGATTTACATTCCAAGTTCAACTCCATGACAATCAAGCCCACAATATATTGTGGAAGGTGTCGGCCTCCGCATGCTCCGTGGCCTCCGCTTATCAAGCCCAATTCATGGGGTTAGTGCCACTTCGTTTAAGCCTACATCTAGAAATTTTTGCCTCGTCCAAAATGTAAGTTCTTTGCTTGGCTCATTGTTTAAAATGGACAGTGGACCGTCTTGCCAGGCATGGATGGCCGAATTGCGGGCTTTGCCCCTTGTGTAATAGGGGCCTGGAGACGGCGGCGCGTTTGCCTTTTGAATGCCGCTTCTCGCTACACATTTGGAATATGGTGAAGGATTGGCTCGGTGCCTTGGCCTTCTGGACTATGAAGATTATTTTGATTTTTTTAAATGCTATGAAGAGTTTTTTTTATTGAAAATAGTATAACAGAATCACAAAAATAGGTCTCCTATTTTTACACTAGTATGTATTGAGATAATTGTGTATTTTAAAATAATTGTTCCTAACTATCAAAAGAAGAGTGCTGCTATGCACACGATACTCTTGGACGATTCTTGGACGATAATGCAAATCAGACCATCTATATAAAGGACTAGGTGCAACACAGCCAGTGGATTAAACATATCGTCTCTGAATCGTCCAGCAGTATCGTCTGTGAAGTAGTTTCGTCAAAAGAATGTTCGTGTATTGCAAAAGGATGTTCATCTATTGCATAATAAATGTACATGTATATGGAAAAATAAATGTTCTTGCATCCCAGAAAAAACATGTATTTAGCACAAAGAGGACATAAAAATAAAAAAATAGGTATATTTAAAATAAGAAGGAAAAATAAGTGGAAATAAATAGACAAAGCAAAAATAAAGTAAAATATAAAAGATGGAATCAAAACAAAAAGGAAAGAAAAGAAAGTCAAATGAAAATGAAATGAATTAAAAAAAGAAAAAGAAAAACAAATAGTAGTTGCAAGCAAATAAACTCCAATGGACACTGAAGAAGAAATGCAAAGAACGTCCCCTGAATAAAAGGAAATGCCAAGGACTACACATTTTTGTCTCCTGGCTCAGTTCTAAGTTTGATTTTAAAAAGACTTCGTAAGACTCCCTGCCAAACATTTTTCCTGCAGTCTTCGCGTGCTACCTGCCAAAACAGTAGGTATACACATTTCTCAAGAGATTGTATGCGAGCCATATCTCGAACATGAAATGCAGATGTCGGTAACTACATGGATACAGATAGCATATGACTCAATTTTTCTGTAATGAAAAACTGGAAATTTTCCTTTTTACATCACACACTCAACACATCAGGTTGTCAAAATTGTCAGGGAAAGATATTCCCAACCATGAAGACTGGGCTTATACATGCAGCTACACTGTAACAGATATTACATCATAACAAGATTACATCCCCCAAATTTCGTTGACGCTGTAGAATTGAATGTATAAACCATAAGAAAATGTCCTTGGAAGCAGCAACAATGATTGCCCAATGCATCAGTCAAGGGGGCGAGTCATCAAACTTTGTCTCGGCTGATGGGTTAGAAAGAGTGCTGGTACTGATCACTGAAGATCATATCAAGTGTGCCTGATAATCCAAGATAGCTGCCATATCCATGAGTACATCATTCCGACGCCACAGTACACTGAAACCATCATGAGAGGTAGGAACGGAAGTCTATCCCCAAATACATGGTGATGGAATAGTCGAGACCAGAATTCTATAGCAAACATTCCTAGAAGATATCCCAAACTGATCCATCCAGTGAATTTTTTCTCGACTATGCTGTCTGATGCATCTAATTTCTTCCCTCCCGGAGCAGGGTTTGCAGCGAAATGGGTTGAAAACCCTACCCACATGAGAGCACTGTAGGTCAACAGCAGCAGCACTTTTATTGGGTATTCTTGGTCCTCAAACAGCAATGGGAACAGAGAGTAGCATGAAACTGCAAATACAATTTGTTCAAACAAGTGAATATTACAGAACACAAACAGCAACATCATCAGTGCACAAGTCGGTGTTTAAACAAAAACATGTAGCAATTGTTCAGAGGACTCAAGCGCTTCACATTGTGGTGATGCTAGAAGACAACACTTTGCCAAAGTTGTTGACATAGCATCAAAGGAAGTGAAAGAAACAACAATGACAGTGTTGCAATTGGAACCGTGCAGACATTGAGCAAGATTAAACTGTGGCAGAAACATACCTATTGACAATAAGAAGTAATGTCTGATGTCGTCCAAGCTATCCATGGCAATTAGGGCAAGTGGGATGGTGAAATGAAGTGATGCCTTCTCATGTACATGCCATCCAAACATAAACCCACATGAACAAGCATATGCCACCCATCTAATTATGTGTTTCGGTTGGGGGTTAGCGAATGCTTTGACAAGACAAGGAGTCATAGCAAGTATAACCAATAAGAAGGTAGTTATTGGGGTGACCTGCAATCCATAAGGTTCAAATAACAAAGTTTATCAAACTATAGAGTTCAACATTCTTCTCTTGGGTAAAAAAAAGGGACAGTAGACGAGACAACCTTTGGAAGAACAGCAAAAGGAGATGAATCACCAACAAGCCCCCTAGTAAATGATGCTTCAGGTATCTCAATACTGAATCCTAGTCTTCTAAGAAGAAATGCAAGGATCTTGTCAAGTACTATATAGAATACCCAAAAGTTTGGAGCCCAGTAAGCATGAAATAGACCCCGACCAAAAGGAAACAATCGGCTTAAGAGCTGTTGCATCTGCAAAATTACCAAAGCAATAAGTGTGGTAGCCATGGTGTCAACAGTACAACTAAATTCATGAGAGCATATTGGTAATGACTGTTTACGTGGCAAATGCTAAAATTTACATTAGAGTGAATATCTTCATGAAACCAAAATTAGTATGATGTATAAAGAATAATGCCTATTGTTAAATACTTGCAGGAAAAAAATTCACTCCAAATGCTTGCAGGAAATTGACCTAGTTCAAGCAAACCCAATGATATTTAAGAGTGCAAGTTCCGCAACAAAAGTTACAAGGCATAGTAATCAGCTGATATTCCTTTTGTATTTGTGCAAACCAGCACCAGCATAAGAATTATTTGATTATTACAAATTCACCATTTCTACCGAATTCAGTGCTAAATGGCTAGAATTATGATTAAATTAATGAGATCACACAATCGCTGTTGACACATAAAATAGAAATGACAAAATGTTATAGACAAACTCACATTAAGGAAAATGCCTTCATGCAACTTAGCAATATACAGGCAGAAAATATTTCTTGCTAAATACCTGTACTAAATTCACGTTGTTGAACTTTAGCCAACATAATGGTGTCTAAGAGTGCAGAGTTCTGGACATACTTATGTGCTTGAGAATTGTAAATTCTATTTATTTGAGAGAATTAATAGACTATATATGTGTTCCACATACAACAGAGATGTCAGCAAAAACTAGTCAAAGCGATACTGTATTGCATAGCCTTGACTACAGAGACACCATTTCGTTCAACGCCTGTAAGTGGACCAAGATGAGAGCATCTTCAGTTAGAGCCTCCCATAGTGCACTGCTTAAAAAAAAACCGCAAATAACATCATCTCATTAATAATTGGTTGTTTTCGTAGAAAACCAATAAACGATATCCTTGCGTGTACAAATAACTAATTAACCTGCTACATACACAAAATAGCATGCATTCTAGTGGTTAGAGGTGTCCTTCATTTTCCGTGAAGCCTAGGTTCGATTCACATCCAACGCATTGTGTGCTAATCTTTTTTAAAATGTGTCATTAGCTAAATTGTGACGGATTCTTTTGCAGTAAACACCCTGTAAAAATTAAACCAAGCATCAGCAGTCCAAGATACACCGACATGGCACCCACATGGACCGTTTTTTCTCTTCTGCATTGGTTTTGGCCTTAATTGATCAAATAAACGAGTTTATGGCCTAAATCGATCACTTTCCGAGTTCTTGGCCTAAAGTGTGCAACGAGTTTGAGTTAATGGACTATCGGTGCATTTCACTCCTAAACTCACGTTGTTGAACTTTAGCCAACATAATGGTCTCTATGAGTGCAGATTTCTGGACATACTTATGTGCATGAGAATTGTAAATTCTTTTTTTTAGAGAATGAATAGACTATATATGTGTTCCACATACAGAAGAGATGACAGCAAAAACTAGTCAAAGAGATGTTGCATAGCCTTGACTACAGAGACACCATTTTGTTCAACAACTGTAAGTGGACCAAGATGAGAGCATCTTCAGTTGTACGCCATAGCAATTACCAGAGCTGAAACAAAAGCTATGAGAGACTTGCACAAGTCTATCAGCTTCTGTTCCATATATACCTTTTCTTTTGCAAACCAGCACGAACACAGGAACTACTCGAAATTTTGCAGATTTCTACCAAATTCAATGTTGACTGACTAGAATTTAACTCTATAACAGTTCTCATTCTCATCAATTCACAATGCCTCCTAAACTTGATTTCTAACTTATGACTGTAACAACAATGACCAAATGATCATGAAGAGACATCCAATTCCAAAATGAACTAAGGGATCAACTCACCTGCCCGTAGTACACGAAGGGTGTGAATGCCATGGCAAAAACAGCAACCACGCCAGCACCCATGAGAACGAGCCTCCCAAGGCCCCTCGCTAGGCCCCGGCCACAGCAATAATGCCGGAACAAGTACACGAAATAGACAGGTGCAGCCACGAGAAAGAGGTGCTTCGAACAAAGCAACGCTGCAAAGACTACTCCCCCGGCAAGATCCTTCCCCTGCTCTAGAAAATGCAGAGAAAGCAACAGCAGCCCCATCAGGAACCCGTTGTACTGAAAGTGAATGTGGTCCACGATGAGCAGCGCCGGTGACCACAGGACGAGCAAGAGAGCGAGGAACGGACGCTGCCTCCGGCGAGCGTCCCTCGCCAGGAGGAGGACGGATGCGAGGAGGAGGAGGAGGTCCGAGAAGGCGACTGTGAAGCGGAGGTAGAGGATGTAGGCTGAGGAGGGCGGCGAGGCAGGCACAGGGATGGCGACGAGGGAGGCGTCGACGAAGGGCGCGGGGAGAGAGAGGAGGCGGGAGAAGTAGGCGAAGAAGGGCGGGTAGTCGAGCGTCCACTGGGAGGAGGCGTCGGTGTACCACTGCCGGGCGGGGAGGGTGTGGGTGAGGGCGAGCCAGTACCGGTGGACGTCGAAATCGGTGGAGCGGTAGGTGGGGACGAGCAGAAGCTTGACGCAAGTAGCGGCGGCGAAGGCCCACATCGCCGCCGCCGCCGTCGACGGCGAGCTGGTGGCGGCCATAGGGGCGGTGGTCCAGTTGGAGATCTGGAGGGGTCGCACCGGGTGAGGTGTGGTTTGGGCTCGTTGCGGCCTGTGGGCTGTCAGCCGTGGATCTAGGGCGTCTACGTCATCCTTGCGAATTAGAATTAAGAGATCTCTAGAATTAATGGTGACCCAAATTATATCTAGGGCGTCTACTGTGATGCTTCTGGACAGAGAGTCAATTTAGCGAAGTCCTCCATTTTCTTTGGTATAAGGGGTGTCTTGAACCTACAAGGATTTCCATTAAAGTTATTTTAAATGTTCCTAATGAATTTTTTTTTGTGATGATCCTAACGAATCTTTGAATGAACGGTATCTCGGTTTGCCGTCTGATGTGGGAAGGAGTACTAATGGATCTTTCAAATATATAAAGGACAGATTATGGGTCAAGATTCAAGGTTAGATAGAAAGATGCATGGCTACTGCTGGAAAGGAAATTCTTGTAAAGTCCATAGCTCAAGCGATTCCGACATACTCTATGTCATGTTTCCTGTTGCCCCGAGGCCTTTGCAATCAAGTGAATACAATGGTACGGAAAAAAATTAGGTAGCCATGATGGAAAGAGGAAGACTGCATGGGTGTCGTGGGATGATTTGACCATACCCAAATACATGGAGGGCTTGGGCTTCCGGGATACTGAACTGTTTAACCTAGCCATGTTAGCAAAGTAGGGATGGAGAATCTTACAAGAGCCGACCTCATTAAGCGCTAGACTTCTTAAAGCAAAGTATTTTTCCTTTGGTTGATTTGTTGGATGCAGAACTGGATCGCAACCATCACAGGTCTGGAGAGCAGTGCACGCAGGTCTGGAAGTTCTAAAATAGGGCTTGGTTCGTCGGATTGGTGATGGTACGACGACACATATTTGGAACTAGAACTGGATCCCGGGAGACTATTTGCTTAGGGCTCTACATCCAGTCTCGGATGACCCCCCAGTTCTTGTTTCAGATTTGATTGAGGGGCCGATGAGAAGGTGGAATCGAGCGGCTATGACTACGCATATGAACCCCATCGATGCTGATGCTCTGTTTAATATCCCGATAAGTACGTCCACATCCAGTGACTGGTGGGCTTGGCATTATGAACGAACAGGAGTTTTTTCAGTCCGATCAGCATATCGATTACTTGTGGGTACTAAGAGGAGAAGGGAGGATTGGCTAGAAAATCGTGGCAACAACTCAGATACAAGGGCGTCACAGAACCAATGGGTAAATCAATGGAAAACTAGAGTTCCTGGAAATGTGAAGAACTTTGCATGGAGATTGGCAAAGAACTAAATCCCAACACGGGAGACTTTGAAGAATCGACACATATGAGATGGAGGTGAGTGTTTTATGTGCAGCATCAGATGCCTTATTTTGTTAGTTAGGATCTCCTTCTCACTCCAAAGTATGGTTGGTGACACGCGCTCATTGACTGCTGCATGTCAATATGTGTTTGGGCCCTTATGGATGATAACGTAGTTGAACACATGATTGCTTGTGGAACTGTCGATGCATCGTTGTGGCTGTGCACTATGCAGGATACTCTGAATGAGAAAGATTTTACCATGGTCATTGTTACCCTATGGTCAATATGGTGGGCAAGAAGGAAAGCAAAGCACGAAGAGATCTTCCAGAGTTCACTATCTACTTTTTTTTATTCAAAAGTTTTTAAAAGATCTGGAGACTTTGCCAAGGAAGGAGATAAAGAACCATACGGGACCGATTAGACCATCAGTGAAACATTGGCTGAAAGGACCAGTTGGGGTAGCAAAGATCAAGGTTGTGAAGGAAATATGCCCTAGAGGCAATAATAAAGTTATTATTAATTTCCTTATATCATGATAAATATTTATTATTCATGCTAGAATTGTATTAACCGGAAACATAATACATGTGTGACTACATAGACAAACAGATTGTCACTAGTATGCCTCTACTTGACTAGCTCGTTGATCAAAGATGGTTATGTTTCCTAACCATAGACATAGTTTGTTGGAAATATGCCCTAGAGGCAATAATAAAAGTATTATTATATTTCATTGTTCATGATAATTGTCTTTTATTCATGCTATAACTGTATTATCCGGAAATCGTAATACACGTGTGAATACATAGACCTCAATATGTCCCTAGTGAGCCTCTAGTTGACTAGCTCGTTGTGATCAACAGATAGTCATGATTTCCTGGCTATGGACATTGGATGTCGTTGATAACGGGATTACATCATTAGGAGAATGATGTGATGGACAAGACCCAATCCTAAGCATAGCACAAATGTCGTTTAGTTCGTTTGCTAGAGCTTTGCCAATGTCAAGTATCTCTTCCTTAGACCATGAGATCGTGTAACTCCCGGATACCGTAGGAGTGCCTTGGGTGTATCAAACGTCACAACGTAACTGGGTGACTATAAAGGTGCATTACAGGTATCTCCGAAAGTAGCTGTTGGGTTGACACGGATCGAGACTGGGATTTGTCACTCCGTATGACGGAGAGGTATCTCTGGGCTCACTCGGTAATGCATCATCATAATGAGCTCAAGGTGACCAAAGTGTTGGCCACGAGATCATGCATTACGGTACGAGTAAAGTGACTTGCCGGTAACGAGACTGAACAAGGTATTGGGATACCGACGATCGAGTCTCGGGCAAGTAACGTACCGATTGACAAAGGAAATTATATACAGGGTTTGATCGAATCCTCGACATCATGGTTCATCCGATGACAACATCGAGAAGCATGTGGGAGCCAACATGGGTATCCAGATCCCGCTGTTGGTTATTGACCGGAGAACGTCTCGGTCATGTCTACATGTCTCCCGAACCCGTAGGGTCTACACACTTAAGGTTCGATGACGCTAGGGTTATAAAGGAAGTTTGTATGTGGTTACCGAATGTTGTTCGGAGTCCCGGATGAGATCCCGGACGTCACGAGGAGTTCCGGAATGGTCCGGAGGTAAAGATTTATATATGGGAAGTCCTATTTTGGCCACCGGAAAATGTTCGGGATTTTTCGGTATTGTACCGGGAAGGTTCTAGAAGGTTCCGGAGTGGGGCCCACCTGCATGGGGGGACCCACATGAACGTGAGTAGTGGGGGAAAGGCCCCACACCCCTGGTCAAGGCGCACCAAGATCCCCCCTTAGAAGGAATAAGATCATATCCCGAAGGGATAAGATCAAGATCCCTAAAAAGGGGGGATAACAATCGGTGGGGAAGGAAATGATGGGATTTCTTTCCTCCCACCTTGGCCAACGCCCCAATGGACTTGGAGGGCAAGAAACCAGCCCCTCCACCCCTATATATAGTGGGGAGGTGCATGGGAGCTTAACACAAGCCAAGGCGCAGCCCCTCCCCTCCCCAACACCTCTCCTCCTCCGTATATGCTTGGCGAAGCCCTGTCAGAGTACTGCTGCACCAACTACACCACGCCGTCGTGCTGCCGTTGGAGAAATCTTCCTCAACCTCTCCTTCCCCCTTGCTGGATCAAGAAGGAGGAGACGTCTCCCGTCCCGTACGTGTGTTGAACGCGGAGGTGCTGTCCGTTCAGCACTTGGACATCGGTGATCCGAATCACGTTCGAGTACGAGTCCATCATCACCATCCCCTTGGCTAGCTTCCGCTCGTGATCTACAAGTGGTATGTAGATGCAAACTCTCTCCCTTGACTCGTTGCTTAGATGAACTCATAGATGGATCTTGGTGAAACCGTAGGAAAAATTTTAATTTTCTGCAACGTTCCCCAACAGTTGCATCATGAGCTAGGTCTATGCGTAGTTCTCTTTGCACGAGTAGAACACAATTTTGTTGTGGGCGTGGATTTTGTCATCTTACTTGCCTCTACTAGTCTTTTCTTGCTTCGGCGGTATTGTGGGATGAAGCGGCCCGGACCAACCTTACACGTACGCTTACGTGAGACCGGTTCCACCGACTGACATGCACTAGTTGCATAAGGTGGCTGGCGGGTGTCTGTCTCTCCCACTTTAGTTGGAGTGGATTCGATGAAAAGGGCCCTTATGAAGGGTAAATAGAAGTTGACAAAATCACGTTGTGGTTATTTGTAGGTAAGAAAACGTTCTTGCTAGAACCCAATTGCAGCCACGTAAAAGATGCAACAACAATTAGAGGACGTCTAACTTGTTTTTGCAGCGATTGATCATGTGATGTGATATGGCAAGAAGTTGTGATGAATGATGAATTGTGATGTATGAGATCATGTTCTTTGTAATAGGATTCACGACTTGCATGTCGATGAGTATGACAACCGGCAGGAGCCATAGGAGTTGTCTTTATTTTTTGTATGACCTGCGTGTCATTGAAGAACGCCATGTAACTCACTTTACTTTATTGCTAAACGCGTTAGCCATAGAAGTAGAAGTAGTCGTTGGCGTGACAACTTCATGAAGACACGATGATGGAGATCATGATGATGGAGATCATGGTGTCAAGCCGGTGACAAGATGATCATGGAGCCCCGAAGATGAAGATCAATGGAGCTATATGATATTGGCCATATCATGTCACAACTATATAATTGCATGTGATGTTTATTATGTTTATGCATCTTGTTTACTTAGGACGACGGTAGTAAATAAGATGATCCCTTACAAAAATTTCAAGAAGTGTTCTCCCCTAACTGTGCACCGTTGCTATAGTTCGTCGCTTCTAAGCACCACGTGATGATCGGGTGTGATGGATTCTTACGTTCACATACAACGGGTGTAAGACAGTTTTACACAGCGAAAACACTTAGGGTTAACTTGACGAGCCTAGCATGTGCAGACATGGCCTCGGAACACGGAGACCGAAAGGTCGAACACGAGTCGTATGGAAGATACGATCAACATGAGAATGTTCACCGACGATGACTAGTCCGTCTCACGTGATGATCGGACACGGCCTAGTCGACTCGGATCGTGTAACACTTAGATGACTAAAGGGATGTCTAATCTGAGTGGGAGTTCATAATTTGATTAGAACTTAATTATCATGAACTTAGTC